AATTGAAGCGGGGTGCCAACATAACCACCAATGATAAGCGAACTATTCAAATCCAAACAAGAATATGAGGCTTGAACCGGGCAACCATGGGTAGAGAACCTGCCTGAGAAGAACCTCCGGGAAAATCGGGACCGGGCAGAACTCCGTGAGTTGAGGTTGTTATGGAATTTTTCGGGGTGCTCATCACTAATTTCATGTTAATTTTGATCACAGATGATGGCTTCATGCATTTACGCCAGGGCGGGTCAGGTCAGGTCAGGTCAGCTCAACCAGTAGGGGTTCTGCCGTGTATTGATAGGTGTCAACCACCACTGACACCTTCGTTACATGTTACGAAGGCATCAAAATTACTTGGTAATTGTTCAAATAGTTGTGAAATTGGAAATCAGCTCCAAAAACTACACTGAAAAATAATGACACCTAAAAGGGGTGTTTTTTGAAGCGTACCAAAAACGCGCAGTTTTCTGGAGTCCGATTACACCCGGAATCAGACACTTTCTAGGGTATTATGACACTGGTTGAGGGTGTACTTTTATACCGTACGGCGTCAAATGATTCCCGGAATGATACGCCTTATGGAATAAAAATACACCCCAAATCAGAGTCATAATAGTCTGATTCCGGGTGTAATCTAACTCCTGGAAACTGCGCGTTTTTGGTACGCTTCAAAAAACACCCCTTTTAGGTGTCACTTCAGGGAGTAATCGGATTTTGAGGGTGTATTTTGATCCCACACGGTGTATGATTCCGGGAATCATTTGACGACATGTGGTATAAAATACACTCCCAACCAGAGTCAGATTACCTCGGGGGTGTCTGATTCCGGGTGTAATCGGACTCCTGGAAACTGCGCGTTTTTGGTACGCTTCAAAAAAACACCCCTCGTAGGTGTCACCTCAACGGTGTCAAATGACTCTTCGGATGGTTTTTCTACCGGCTCAGAGCCTGTTCCTGTTAGCGTCATACATCAGCTAATATCAATATTACCGGTACTATTGGTCTCCTATATAAGAAATACCGGTAATATTCGAGTGCGGGGATTGGGTTGTGTGCAGGGGTGAGGGATGCACTCGAACCGAGCTGCGGCGATGGTATAAAGGGTATATTCATCGCATCAGAAAAACAGGTCGCCTGGGCCCTTATCTTGAGACCAATAGTATATAACAACTAACCAACATACCCATGGGTATGTTCTGCTTCTGAAGCTTAGGAACGATTAGCCAGACTGCAACGAGACTTTAAATGTAGCTTGCATGTGTCTTCACCCTTGCAGCTACAATTTTATCTATTGACGATGACGTCTTCCTTTCAATCAGTCTTTATGCCAGATATTGTCAAATGATTCTCGGAATCATACACCTTATGGGATCAAAATATACTCTCCAACAGAGTCATAATTGCAGTTGTTAACCACGTGACGCAAATTAACAATGCATACATGTCATTCTTTATTTTATATGCAACAATAAATTCCAAAACATTTGGGCACGAAATGTATGGCGAAATCTAATGAAAACTTATCGTAAGGCTCTTGGGTCCGTGACTCCATTCACCGTAAGGAATTACTCACATTTCAACAATGTTCCATCAACCGGTGATTATTGCTACTTACTTAGGTAGAGCTATTCTGCAGCTTAATGACATAAAAACTTACCTCCGTCTCCATGGTGCGTTGCTATCTTGTCTACTTCAGAATTTCGCCGAGTGCAGGGCGCCTCGTTGTTTAAATACGCATGTTGAGCAAACTACAAATAATATCTGAAGTTTATCGTTAAAGCATTATTACTTGAAGGAAATCTACACTTTAAACAACGTTTGGCGACATTAAAAGCGCGTTAATTCAAATAAGTTCCTCTCCCCGCTCACACCACACGCACCCACGTGGGCACACTTCCGGCAACTGAAGTCAACGGCTTTCCTAACGGTTTTCTTGCAAGGTCGAGCTATTTCATCTTCGTGGCGGACCGGCATGGCTAGAACACAAATGACGTCACACGACAATGCAGCTTGCTGATTGGCCGGGCATTGACTCAAACCACTGGACCTGAGCTGTGGTTTGCACCAGGGTTACAGAGTCAGAGTCAGAGTCGGGTGGAGTTGACAGTTATGGCCGGAGTCAGAGTCGGAGTCGACGGCGACTTTGGAAGCCGGAGCTGGAGTCGGAGTCTGGGTCACCGAAAATCAATTGATACCGCAGCGTATCCGGACAAATCTTTGCATGGCATTTTTTCGTCGCGCAATTCTTCGTCCGCAAAACTTCGTCCGCTCATTTCTTCGTCCGCGCATTTCTTCGTCTCCGCCTTTCTTCGTCTTGCATTTCTTCGTCTCGCATTTCTTCGTCTCGCATTTCTTCGTCCGAGCATTTCTTCGTCTCCGCATTTCTTCGTCTCCGCATTTCTTCGTCCGCGCATTTCTTTGTCTCGCATTTCTTCGTCTCGCATTTCTTCGTTTCGCATTTCTTCGTCTCGCATTTCTTCGTCTCGCATTTTTTCGTCTCGCATTTCTTCGTCTCGCATTTCTTCGCCTCGCATGTCTTCGTCTTGTATGTCTTCGTCTTGCATGTCTTCGTCTTGCATGTCTTCGTCTCGCATTTCTTCGTCTCGCATTTCTTCGTCTCGCATTTCTTCGTCCGCACATTTCTTCGTCTCCGCATTTCTTCGTCTCGCATTTTTTCCGCAAATCTTCGTCCGCAAATTGACAGTGCAGCCTGCTGATTGGGCTATTGCCTATTTCATCTTCGTAGCGGACCAGCCATGGCTAGCTCACACATGACGTCACTCGGGGCATTGATTCAAATCACTGAACCTACACCAGGGTTACGGATTCAGAGTCGGAGTCCGTTGGAGTCGACAGTTCTGGCCGTAGTCGGAGTCGGTTGGAAACGACAGTTCTGGCCGTAGTCGGAGTCGGAGTCGATATTGGAAGCCGGAGCTGGATTCGGAGTCTGATTCACTGAAAATCTCTTGACTCTGCAGAGTTGGTTCCTATAGGAAGCAACACTGCAGAGTCAAGAGATGGTGGTATACCACCAGTGACGTCAAAACAATTTCTGTAATAATTTAGGCCGCGTTCGATGTCTCCTCGGACGAAGAACATTCTACGCAGAATATTATATTTTGCGTTCGATGAAGCACACAGGCGGACGACGAGACCGGCCATTTTGTGCGCCACTTACACAATGTGCGTCAGTTTCGAAAAAGGCGAACATTTGTGCGCGGTCTCCATAGAGACCGCGCACAAATGTCAACAACTTCTGCAAACAGCTGCTGCGCCGCTTTTGAAATACGCGCCATCATTGCCTCTCTGCCCACCGTAGTACGCTCAAAAGATTCTGCGCGGACGGCGAAGATTCTACGTGACGTCACGTAGAATCTTTGCCGTCCGTGCGACATCGAACGCCATTTCGGGCCCGGACGGCATAGAATCTTTGCCGTCCGGGAGACATCGAACGCGACGGTTATGCATCATGAGTAGTCAATTACGGGGTAAAAGGGATGAGGCTACCCAGCAAAAAATACCTCAGGCCAGTCGGCTTAGCGGTTGCTGAGAAATAAGCCGCTCAAAAGCGTTACTACGGGCCGGGCCGGCCAGGAAGGGCCGCTCATAATGTCGCTTGCTCGTAATTAGTGGCAGAGGTCGGATTACGCCCCCTCCCCTCAGGTTTTTCGTAGATCATATGGCTCAGGAACGGTTCGCACCAGGCACGTGAAGTTTAAGGGCTTCCCCTACAATTTTATAACGTCTTAACTCTTAACCCGGCAGTTGCTGGGGTATTTCGCCACCCACCGTTTGCTGGGGGGGGGGGGCGTTAAACGCCCCCAGCCGATAACTCGAGAACCAATAGGCGCAGCGAAACGCACGAGGCGGCAAACGAAAGAGCGCGACGAAACGCTTCAGATGAGTACTTAAAAGTTGAATTTTGAGGTCACAGGTCAGGTCAAGGTCAGGTCAAACACCGGAAATCGGGCTTTCAGTAGCATGGACTTCAGGACTTCGCAATGGGCGCCTCTCGTCATAAACTCTGTCAAAACGGTGCACAATCCATCATATAAGGCTTACAAGAGTGTCAGCTCCATGTAGGGGTCAGTCAAGCATAGGTCAGGGTCAAGGTCAGGTCAACCGGGTAGGCACATATCCCCGAAAATCAAAACTGATATTCGCAGCCTGTGACACATGTTTTATGGGTAATTTGGAGCGTAGAACACGATGATGACATTATTTTTCTCATATGTGTACGAGTTTGGCTCAAAAAGTTCAATTTAAGAAATTCATATATCATGGTCGTGAAGAAGTCACGAGAAATTGCCAAGATTCAGTTCAAGATTTTGGAAAATGCGGAACAATGATCAATAATCGAAGATAGCCATTAGATTGCTCATGGTATTGGCAGTCTAATGGCGTTTACGGCATGTCTGTATATCTATTCTGTGATTTTATATGATTTTTTAACATATGCCGTTTTTGGTCGAAAACTCAGAAATCATGACGTCACTAAAACCTCGATATCTCAAAAATTTTCTGACCGATGTTTTTGAAACTTTGTCACAATAAACTTCAAGCAATTTCCTACAGGTACCCAAAATTTGGCGCTTATGCTATGGCCCGGCGAAAAAAGTGGGGGCGTTTAACGCCCCCCCCCCCCCCAGCAGCTCGCGGGTTAACTCTGAAAAAGGGGTCTGTATCTGAGCAACGGTGGCTGCAACTGATTGCCTGTGAAAAGTGGAACATCATTCTGGAGTCAACTATGCAGGCGTGCGGTGCCGGTTCGGCGGTGTCGCCCGCACGATGCCGCTATGCCCTGGGCCGGCAGCCGCAGCCCTCAGCAGCGGCGGGTGCCGGCAGCAGCGGGTGCTCAGCGGCGGGTGCTCAGTGGCGGGTGCCGGCAGCCGCAGCCCTCAGCAGCGTCATGTGCCGGCGGCGGCGGGTGTCAGTGGCGGGTGCTCAGTGGCGGGTGCCGGCGGCGGCGGGTGCTCAGTGGCGGGTGCCGGCAGCAGCGGGTGTCAGTGGCGGGTGCCGGCGGCGGCGGGTGCTCAATGGCGGGTGTTCAGCGGCGGGTGCCGGCCGGCCGGCTGTGTTGGCCGTTGCTCGGCGATGGCCGAGGAGGGCGCCGAAGGACGGCTCCGGTCGCCAGACGGTGGGCTGCCCTGGAGCCGGCGGCATGGTGCGCTGCGCGCCGCGAGCCCGCCTGCTGCTGCTGGCCGGCCTGCTGAGCGCCGCCGCCGCGCCGGGCCGCGCCGCTTTCACCGACGTGTTCCAGCTGCCCTCGCAGACGTTCCAGCTGGTGGCGCCCCAGTGGCTGTGGGCAGGACACGGCTTCGTCAACGACACGGCCGCCGTCTACTGGACGGGGATCACCGGCTCGCTCTGTGAGTCCGCCTCCGCGCGCGCACCGGCCGCCAAACTACCAGCAGCATCTGCACATGTGGCTTGAGAACATGGGTGTAGGAGCGCCAAAAATATTGGTGAAGGATGCCACCTGAACCTTATGAAAAGGGACAAGACCGTGCCAACCAACACGCACAGTGCAAGCGGGGGGGGGCGAATTTCGCCAACCCCTTGTTTTTCGCAGATATCTTACGCCCGTATCATCCCATTAACGTCAAATTTTCAATGCCTGCCTAAAACTGAATTGCGCATCTTGCCATGACAGCAAGATGTAAATCAGGGCCTCGGCTAAGGAATTTTGACTACTGGGGCAAATGGTCAAAGTGTGTTAACCCGCGCCCTGCTGGGAGGGGGGGGGGGGGAGGTTTTTGAACACCCCCCCCCCTGCGGTTTTTCGCGGATATCTGACAAACGGCGGCACCATATCATCTATCAATTTTATGCATTTTGTGAAAATTTCAGACCAGGGTCCTTCAAGGTCAGGTCACCAGGTCGCTACAAGTGACCTCACCTCATAAGCACATCATAAAATGTTTCAATGTATGCCATAGCTACACCAAGTGACGGATCGCTTTGAAGCTTTCAGCAATTGATAAGTGCAACAGTATGTACAAAATTCGGAATTTTCATATCGGTGACCTTAGGTCGGGTCAATTTTGCGACCTCTCTAGGTATTATAAGTCAATGGGAGAAAATTCAAAACCGTCTTTTTCGGACGAAAGTCATTCTAAACACTCTCAAACACTAAATTACAAGTAACTTTGACACACTGAACATGAAAACGGCACCCGTGACCCCTGTTTATGCCCCTAGGGTCATCTCAGGTCACGAATGGTATCTAGCAGTTTTTTTGCGACTAACTTTTGAAAGAGGCATGCTAGAGCGATGAAAACGCCTTATATATGTTCAGCTCGACGATACAGATCCACTAATATGCAACATGACAATGTCCGGTCAGGTCATGACCTTGACCTGAGGTCGAATTTTCAAGTTGACCTTTCAAGGTCAAGTTATAGTTCATTCGATGCGTCTTGACGAGAGGATCTCGATGCCGGTAAAAGTAAGCTCGTACAAGGCTTGAGTCAAAAGTTATTGCAGAAAAACTGTTTCCGAAAAAATCGGCTATTTTTGCAGTTTTTGCCCCCTGCAGGCAAAACCGTTGACGTTAGGTCAAATCTGAGAGAATTAGTCAGAAAGGGCGTTAATAGGGCTATCGAATGCGCTTTTCCGTGGCGCTGTAGCTCTATTGGTTCCCGAGCTATGCGTTGGCTTCTTGGAAATTGTCGACATTCGACCTGGAAATCGGCGAAATTTTGCCTTCAATGACATCTGGTGACCTGACCTTTGACCTGACCAAAAAAGTGACCGAAGTGGTTTCGTCATTATTTTTGGCGCTCTTTCGAACGCCGCCTTCTGCGTATCGCTACGTGGCCCAGGAGCCGAGTTAGAAGGGGGGGGGGGTGTTCAAACACCCCCTCCCCCCAGCAGGGCGTGGAAATCCAGGACCCCCAGCCGGGCGCGGGTTAAAGGAAAAGTGCCACCTTCGTGAAATATGAAGATATCGTTGCTTTTCATTTTGACATTATTATTTTTCATGTTCTTTTTAAATCTGGTGCCAGAAGTGCATAATTCGCAAAAAAGTATGCCAAACTATTTAACATATTGGTACTATGTAGTTGTACTCTCTACTGCACCTTCTGTATGATGTCATAGCGATGACATCACACTCAAGCCAATCAGCCTTCAGAAGACAGTCTCGTCGGCTTGTGTCAGATTAGCTGATTGGTTAAAGCTGAGCTGATTGGAGCTGATTGGTTAAAAACCAAAGCCTCGCCGCGGGTGGCTGTATTACAGGATAAGAACGCATTCCTGGGATAAGGACGCATTCCTGGCATATTTTCTTTTAAAATTGCCGATACCTACAAATGGAGGCCGAAATCGGCCGTAAGGTGGGACACTCTCGGGGTTTTCGGACACGGGCTACAAGATGGCCATCTCAGTTTCAAACCCCATGTTAAAGGTGGCCCTTTTCCTTTAAAAACAGACATTTGATCAACCGTCGAATCCAGTAGTTCTAAGCATAGGTAGGTGAAGACCCTCCCTTGCATTGTCCAAGATTGGTGAAGGATCCTTCACCAATCTGAAACTTTGGTGAAAGGTATCCTTCACCAAAGAGATACGTTGCTACACCTATGCTTGAGAACTTTGTTCCTCTTAACCCGCGCCCTGCTTGGGGGGGGGCTATTTCCCCCTCCAGTCTTTTCGCAATATCTCTAAAACTACTGGGCCCATCGTCGTGAAACTTTTAGTACCTTCTCGTACATCACTTTTACACCATTTGTCCAAAACTTGTTCCAGAGCCTATGATGTGTTTACTACAAATGACGTCAGACGCAGAGTGACGTCATGTACAGCCATTTTCGATCCCCCCCAAAAAGGTTTTGCGGGAAGATCTATCATGCCTGCAGCTTGGAAGACAGAGAAAAATGATTTGTTTCAAAAAGATGTAAAAGGAACAGGGTTACAATATTCCTATCTCGGATTTCTTCTTTAATTCTTTTATTTTGACCCCAAAATAAAAAAGTTTTTTTAAAAAATAATTTCAAAAAAAAAATGTAAAAAATACAAATTTTGAAAAACTGGAATATATGGTATAGACCTGTTTTACGAATTAGCGAATGATCGACATGCCAAATTTGAGCTCGGTAACTATTTTTGGGAAAGTTATGGCGAAAAAGGCTCAAAATTGGTGACGTCAAACATTCAAACTTAATTTTTAGCGGTTATAGACAACGTAGAATAAAACAAAGCCTAAACAAAGCCGAGTAATCCAATAAATTGGATTACTCGTGATGAGTTGCATCGAATAGGTACCCATCAATATAAAATATCAACTTCGAAAATTCACGATTTTGACCTGACCTTGACGTGACCTTCACCAGAGCGTAGCCTAAACCGTCCCTGATGGTCGTCTAACCAACACCGTTGAGTTGGCAATTACAATTTGGTCATAAAACATGCACCACATGACCCTAGTATAGTTCGGTTCATGTGTTGCCACTTGGTGACCTGACCTCTGTGACCTTCGACCTGGTATCAGTGATCTCATTTAGCAACATATGTTCTGGGCAACAGACGATTTATCGATGATTTTCGATAAAATGCATTTTACTCGATGTTATAACGCATTTCCTAGAAGGCCCGTGAACGGTGAAACATGTTAGCTTTGACCTGGCCAGTGACGTCATCGGTCACTGTGACGGTGACGTTATGTGACAGCCTTTATAGGGCTATCGAACACCGCTCGAGCTTTGCAAATCCGTCCAGTAGTTCCTATTTATTTATGTATTTATTTCGTCATCCTTCCAATAGGCTGATGCGCCTGATGTTTGTAATGGGGTTTCGAGGTCCTGTTTTTAATTTCATGTTACTTTAAATGAAAGAGTGAAGTTCATGCATTTTTGGTTGGTCGGGTCGTGACAGGTCAGATCAACTATATAGGTGTCCAGCTAGCTCGTTTAGGGGCGAAACGAAGAGGGGGTCGTATGTAGGGGAAGGTGGGGTAAGACGGACCAGCTAAGGTTTGAGGCCGCATATCTTGCTACACTGCTCTCGTAATTCATATCATTTATAGTCTTCGGAATGCTCAATCCTTCCTCTGTTGATATGTGTAAAGACTAAATTTCAAATTAAAGACATCTAGGTGGTGGATGCTCTTAAAGAGGGACATGTCAAAAACTCAGACAAGAAAAAACGTGGGGTAAGACGGACCACCCAGCAGTGCCTGCTATCCGTTCATGTGTGTTACACTTCTGCTCTGTACTCTTGTAAGAAAAAGTAACCAGAATGGTAAAATAACAAAATGAGCCTTTATTCTTAACTCATGTGTGATGGAAGTGCAGCTAAAAGCTGGGAACATGTGTGTTGATTGTCGTTTGGCATGAATGCATGCTAACTGAGCACTTGCATGCATGGCTCACATGCAACAAAGACTCCTTCCTGAAAAATTAGCTTACTTTAAACTTGTGCCAATGTTTTGGAAAAGAACTTTCCATATGCAGGGTACAATAGACCACCACAGGGTAAGATGGACCACAGTGGTCCATCTTGCCCCAAATCTAAATTCTGCCATTATCATGACGTATATGTCAAATAGCCCAACATTGCAAAACCTTGCCTTTCCTAAAGTGTGACTATAACTAAGTTTATAACTTTGTTCTTCACAGTTAAGTGCAAAATAGAAACTAATCATGCAAGAAAGGCGTCGTAATTGAATCACCCGTAGACCTCTTATATTAGATCGGTTTGACGAAAAACAACATTTTTCTCAATAACTCAAAAGCTATGCATCCTAGCAGCATGAGCTCAAGGTGGCCATTGTTACAAAGGAAAACAAACATAGTGAGTGCATAAAGCAGTAGATACCAGCAGCGGTTCAGCCAGGAGGGCTGGTGGTCCGTCTTGCCCCGCTGGGCCGTCTTACCCCACCTTCCCCTACGCCCCTTGCCGGGGCGTATGTAGAAAACCATTAGGTCAGGAAAGGGTTTAACCCTATTCCTGGCGGGGGGGGGGGGCCTCAGGAGCCCCCCCTGAGGTTTTTTGGTTATTTCTCCCAAACGCGTTGAGCTAGGAAGCTCAAATTTTCTGACTTTTCCTAAAAGGCTTCTATGCAACATGTCTGAAAATTTTGAGTTGATCTGACCTCAGGTCAGGTCACCAGAGGCGGTTTGGTGACCCTACCTCAGAAAAGTTTGCAATCACGCCAGAGCTAGAGTTTTTGACCGATCAATTTCTTCTCTTCAGGCTTTAGTTAGGGTACCAGTATGTGCAATTTGTATATCTCGGAATTTTGATATCGGTGACCTAAGGTCAGGTCAATTTCGCGACCTCCCCATTGTAAGTCAATGGGGGAAAAATCAACTCCCTGTTTTTACCACTAAAACGGGTCGGAATGGCCCCATATACCATACATGACTTCATA